TTAAGCAATTTGAAATCTTTGACACACAGCCATTTCTGACTTTAGTTTCAGTTCAGCATTCACTAGAAAAAAGTCAAGTCTTCCTATTCCCAGTTACAGAAACCTCCAAAGCATTTACTTTTTAGATGTGAAAACTCGCATTTAGAGGAGAAAAAAACCAACCAACCAACCAAAAAATCTGAGTCATGCTGGCATTCTATGCAGACTTGAAACTATTTGAGCTGGAAGGCAGTTCAAACAACACCTCAGTCTCCACTCTTTACAATATGGGAATTTACTTTTATCAGAAGGTCCTTTATGCAAATTTGAGTAATGCCATGTTTGATACATCCATTTGTGTGGAAGAAAGCAAGCATGATTGCAGGTAGGTGTAAACTTGAGGTGATAGACCTGTAAGTCTTGTCTTTGGAGCCTGGAGGCAAAGGTTGCAAAACCTTCCTGTCCTGCTGCTGATGAATCCAATCTGGCTCCTGCTGCCAAAGGGATTGCAGGGGCTCCTTTAAACACAGGCTTCAGATCTCACTGCGCCCATACCCGGGAGCTGCGGTCTTTCCTTACGTCTGCAGCTGTGCTGTCTGACACAGGCTGACTAGTCTAATGGTGGGGATGAAATATGGGGAAATCTGTTTTCTTGTCTAATATCAAGTCAGTGGAAATATAAAGTATTCTGAATGGAGTTCCTAGTTACCATGATCTTGAGGGGTTTGTTGAATTCAAAATTCTCCTTTAGAAAGCCACTTGATGCTCGGATGTTGCTTTTTTCTTTACAAGCAGCTGAAGTCTGTCTTTGAGCTAGAATCTAGCTAGATTCTACTCTCAGCTTGAGTTTCTAGCATTGAAGCTTTAATTTTATTTCTGTTATTTATTTATTGGAGCATGTTGTGTCACCTTAGAGTAAATGATCTTCAGGCATTACTGGATTTCCGTGGCAATTTTACTGCTGGAAGGTGAGTATCTATGGGATGTGCCCACAGTAGCCTGCGTGACAGTTCCATAGCCTTGCCAAAAGATGGTAATACCCCTTAATCTAATAGAGGTGCTGTCTTATCTGTAAAGCAATTTTCACTTCTCACAAGAGATGAAAGAGGCATTGGCTTTTTCACTTCAGGCAGTGCAAAGGCTGGTTTGCAGACCCAGCCTGTCCACACAGTCACTGGATTCTGCAGAGGAGATTCAGGCTGCACATGCAGTTATATTGTGCCATGCAGCACGTGTACCCATCTTCCCAGCCGCTTATTTCTACTCTCTCCATTGAGCCAACACTAATATTTGTAAGGCTTTGCAGTGAACTGGATCAGGGAAGTGGTTGGATTAAAAAGTACCACGTTTTTAGTGTATAATCATGGCCTCGAAGATCAGTCATGGCTCTGGAAATTCCACTGAGCTTCACTCAACCCAAACATGTTAAGTGAGCTGTTTGACATTAGGTGAGATGAATTACCTCTCTTATTTCTGTTTGTTGAAAATTAATTTCCTCTTTGTTGTTTTTTCTCCATTATTAATTGCATATGTTGTGTGAAATTGAGAGGGTATGATATTTGAAAGAAACAGTTTCATTATCTCCTGAATAACTTTGTTGCTGCCCTATTATCAGTTACTTCTTAAACAGTAATCTTGGCAAAACAAATTTTTAAAACTATTTAGTGTATAATAAATGTGTTATATAAATGAAAAAGCATTGGGGGAAACAGTGGATATATAGTCTTGAAGGTCTAGAAAGCAGCTGAATTGTTTAAAGCAGGAAGGTCAGTCACATTTAAAAGGGTTGAGGAGGGTTGAAGCGGTCCTGTTCAGAGAATCTGATCTGTAACATACACTAGCCAATGTAATTTAAAATCCACTGTGACAGAAAATCCTGAGTCCAAAGAAACACAGCTTCCTAGCTCAGTAAGTTCTCCTTGAGTTTCGCTGAGGAATGTAAACCAACAAAACCCATCTCCATGTTGTTTTTGTCATTTTGTCTGGGCTTAACCCCAGGAGGCAACGAAGCCCCACTTGCTCACTCACCTGCCAGGGGCTGGGGAGAGAATTCAAATCAAGGTTGCATAGAATTTTTCCTCATGTGACTTTTAAGATCCTGACTTTACAACTTTGCTGTCAATTTTCAAAATTAGGGTATGTGAATTTTGATTTCTTTTAAAGGCAAGGATACCTATAAGTTGCATATGGTATCTTGGAGTACAGCTGAGTAAAGGGAAGAAATACAACATTTTTCTGAGTGATTTTTTTTGGAGGGGGGGTGTGCAACTGGCAGTCTTGATGAAAGGTACCTTACAAAAATTTTTCTTCACATGCATAGAAAATGTTCCCTGACTTAGGTAATTAATACTTTTTAAAATAAAAAATAGTACAAGTATGTAAAGTTACAAACTATGAAAACCGAATCAATTGTCATGTGATAAATGAGAAAATATGCATCCTTTCCCAGGTGGGAGTCTGGGTGTCACACTGTAGGTACCAAATCCTGTTTTCTGTTCTTTTTTGTGTTGAATCAGGATATTGGAAATATTCTACAGCTTACACATTCAAGTCTCTTCCTATCCAATGAAGTTTTCTAAAAATATCTATTGCAATCACGAGTTTACAAGTGCTGTTTTCAGCCCCAGCATTCTCAAAATGACCTAGAGGTAATGACTGTTTTAACTTTAACCCTGGTATTTGCAAGCAAGCCCTTTACACGATCAATTTGTTTATGCAGTAAGATCAGACTTTGTTACTGCTTCCTAGAGACCTTTGCATCTCAGAGACCTGTTTCCTCACAGAGATTATCCCTGGTGTGGCAAGTATTAAATGTGGAAGGGCTGGAGGCTCAGTATGCCTCCATCCCTTTCCAAAAATGAAGCAAATAACTGATAGCTGCATGTAGAGGTGTTTTTCTTTAACAACCTGACTGATTTCTTTGGGACTGATTTCAGGTTTATAGGTAAGTTACTCAGTGGGTATTCACAGTGAGGTGGTGGGAAAGGACTTCTTGTGAAAATAGACATATTTAAGAGATAACAGTACGGGAGAGAGTAAAACCTGTTTAACCTTAAAACCATAATTACATGAAATTATGTCCTTATTTTTCTATGTTCTATTCTCATTTTTTCAGTTTATGTGTGTGTTGGTACTTGGGGATAAGAAAGGGGTTATGGAGGCTAAAGTATTGTATGGGAAACTGAGAAAATCCTCTGCCAATGTCTTTGTGGCGCAGAATTTTTGTAAATACTTAGGAGACACAGATCTTTGAATGGAATCATCATGCTGCATCTACTACATCTACTGTTGTAACATGTACAGAGCTGTTTGTAAAGCAAAATTCTCTCTATGACTGTTAAATGAGCTTCATACTCATTACCCTTTCTATTTTAGAAGCTTTTTTTCATTCAGGCAAGGATCAGTGCATATTATAGGAAACCTGCCAGTGAAAGCATATTCATGTGTAAACATGCACGGAACAAAAGAGAAGCCAGAAGGCAGTTTACTACATAAATACTAGGCATATTACTTGTAGATCTTCTGTGCTTATAAAAAAAATCAATTGTCAGTATTGTGAATATTAGTATATTTTGAGTCTTCAGAAATTATGTTGTTGCCATGCTTGCTTAAGTACCAGTTAATCATTGACAAGAGCGCTAATGATTAAATGGCTGTAATATAATTGTCATGTTTGAAAGTACAAAAGAGTATGTAATTTAATAGTTAAAACAAGAAGCACTCCATTTATGTTTCACTAGCTATTAGGTTGTTTTTACAGAAATGTCGCTAAAAAGGCTGCTGAATTTTACATATTTATTGTAAACGTAGAAAGGTACCGTGCAGTTTGGGCGATACCAAGCAGCTTTTGACATGTTCAGAGGTCAGCTCTCAGGCCTTTCCTTTGCTTTCCTGACAGATAATGCCTATTTCGGTTGAGGGTAGACTTCAGTGTTTGCTTAATCTTTTAAAAATATGTATGCTGGATGAAGAAGTGGTACTTGGAGATATGTGTATGTGATTCAGCAGGGAGCACTGGTACAAGAAGCCCAGTGCCTACTGGAACCACCCCAGCTATCCTGGGGCTGAGCGTCTGCAGAGGAATACAATCCTTCTGTGCTGTGAACAACTGGTTTAGCCCAGGAGAGCTTCATGGAGACCACACTGGTGGAGCAGTGCCAATCATATCCTCAGCTGTTCCTCTCTTCTTTTTGCTAATGGCTCCTTAGGGAGACAAATTGATTAGTCTCCTTTGGGTTGCTGGAGGCTTCTCTATGCTTTTCCCCTATCACCAAATAGATATATCACACAGAGAGGAATTTAACTTTATTTTCACAAATTACATACAAGGGATTTCTCTTTTCTGAGTCTGAGTATGTTCTGGTTATGTGAGGGACTTGAATAGATAACAAAGAGCAAACAGCACAGTTAGTTCCAGGTGTTACTGGGCTTATCCATGCTGTGTGTCTAACTCTCACCCACCAGCACAGTGGGTACAGTCATATTCCTGTTGTCTGTAACTGGAAATCATAGATCAATTCCCATACTTACTCTCCTACATATTCCTGCCTGCTGCACTATATGGCATAGATATTATTTTCCTTTTCTGGTTAAAACTATCCTGTTTCAAAGAAATTTGGCAAATAGATCTGTACTAATGGTATTTGTAGAATGAGATGGCAACTTAGTAATGATGACAGCATCGCCTTTATTTTTCCTGCTCAAGAAGAGTGACTAGAATATTGATGTTTGTTATAAGTTTTGGTGGGAAGTGCATAATGCCTTCTGTAGAAACACTTTTCTCAGCAATGGAGAGAAAACTACCAAGATTGACCTTGTCATAACTTTCATTCATCTTGAAGTCTTCTGGGGAATTCTCCCCACCCTGTGCTCTTGATGATTCATGTTGCATAAAGCTTCCAAAGCAGTAGAATTTTGTATAATAATTCACTTTCGGATTAGAAATCCTGTATTCAGTGTGCTGCAACTGGTTAAATTTTTTTTTAAGTATCTGAATTTTTTAAAAATTATTCTTTCACCAGTAAAAAGAAGTTTAAGTGACTGCTCTACTTGATCAAAATGGTGGACACTGAAAACCAGCTCTATCCCCTTACTCCCTTGGAGGAGGAGGATATAGACAGCCCTTTATCTGGAGAGTTCCTACAAGATATGGAGAACATTCAAGACCTGTCCCAGTCTCTAGGTGATGATAGTTCTGGAGCTTTAAGTTTAACAGAATTCCAGTCACTGGGAAATGGTCCAGGATCTGATGGATCAGTTATAACAGGTAAGAGTTTTGTTTAACATAAAACTTTTTAGTATAAATAGAATGGTAGAAATTAATAACTACTTTTATGCAATAGTTATTGTTTATGATGAAGTGACACTGGAAATATATAAGCTGATTATGGCATGGTCTTAAAATACTGAAGGCTAAAGTTAATATATTAGACAAATGTCACTAAAGAATGACTGTAACATAAACTTACATAGCCTTTGTTCAGAGGCTTTGGGAGATCAGAATGGGAATCACTGCAGTGGTGTGGGACACTGTGGAGTTCTCAGTAAGGTTTTCCTGTTGAATCTGGGTGTTTTAAAGTCTTTTAGCAGGAGAGCCATTTGAAGTAGCTTCCTGTTAACCTTTTGGTTGGTTTGCATTATGCTTTGTTTTGTTTTGGGGGGTTCTTCAGATCAATTCTCTGCTTGTGATCCCTATTTCACCTTGGAATAATAGAACTGAGGCAGTTGAAATGAACAGTGTGGGTTTGAAGGCAATGGGGAGAGCTGCCTTCTGGCACTATGGACCAAAGGAATGTTTCTAGAGCTACGATTTTGTTCCCTTTTGGTTGTAGACCTTCTCATAAGAGAGATGCTTTGTACAGGAAAAGTTATGATGTGCATTATCTATGTGTGTATTTGTTTATAATATGGTCCTTCAGAGGCAGGAGCCTTTACAATTATTTGAGTGTAGGTGTGTACAAGGCCTACAATAATTTAGATCAGCTTGTACTGTCACCTTCTCATGGAGTATTTTGCTCACTGCAAAATGTACTGGTTTTGTGGTTAGAGAACATGGAAAATGTAACGTTCCAAGGCTCAAATTCCATAAAGCAAGTAAAATGAAGTAACACTTTAAGAAAATCCTGGGGTTTAGGCTGTTCTTGATGACTCTGATGCCTGTGGGTTTGGCAGCGCTGGCAATGGAGACTCTGAGTTCTGTGCCAAGGTTTTTTTCCAACATAATACTTGCTGACCTACATTCATGAGTGTTTCTTAATCTGTCTGTTAAAATAACACACCCATTAATTTGCTGAAGTCTTGTGGTGCAAGTTGCAAGATGGAATATAAAAGGAATTCTGGCCTCAGAAAATATTTTCCTCAAAAAAAGCTGGAATTATTAATTTAAATAATTAAGATTTGAACATGGTAGTTTTGTAATGTGTTCATCTACTGGTGGCACATCTGGTGAGTTTATTTCATTATACGATTCAGAAAAGCTTTGCCCCTCAGAAGAAAAACACAAAATATCTGAGCAAGGCTATTTGAGAAGCAGACATTTGTTACCTTCCTTTTAACATCTGTTCAGCCTTTCTACTGATGTGCAGGACTCGTCCATTTGCTTTTCAGCCCTCAGTTTGGATTGTAATTGAAAATTATGAGTAGCTTTTCAAAGGTCAGGGGTCCTTATAATGTATCTGAAGTGGATGTGTGTGAGGTAGGAATGTGTCTCTTGTGGTACTGCCAACGAGAGATGCCCTGCTCATCCCTGCAGCACAAGAGATGGAAGATGCAAAGCCAAGATGAGCTGTTCACAGCCTTTCTGCAAAGAACAGTGGTGTGGTGTGTATTTATTGGGTCAATTATCACCCAAATAGTTCTTGTTGCCAGAGTCACTGCAGCAAGGCCTTTTCCTTGTTGTCACATCAAAATTACCCTGTATTTTGTGTGTGTTTGCACTAGAAATATGAATTCTTTTTCAAAGACTTATGGTTGAACTGTTAGTTCACTTAATGACTATTAACACAAGATTATTTTTTAGAATAAGCTCATTTTTTTGTGTGGTTGTTAGTATAGAAAACTGTATCAATCTTGATAGTATAGTATTTATGAAGTGTTCCTTTTTTTTTTTTAGACACACTTTCACCAGCATCCAGTCCTTCATCCATTAATTTTGCCACAGCTCCAGGTAGCATAGATGAATCACCCAGTGGAGCACTAAACATTGAATGTAGAATTTGTGGGGATAAAGCCTCAGGCTACCATTACGGAGTACATGCTTGTGAAGGTTGTAAGGTACAGTCATCATTTTCTCCTTAAGAACCTAAATCATGTTACTTTTCTTATGGGGTAATATGAAGATAAACGTTTAGTGCATAAATGTTTAATTAGTATAGGTCTAGCCATTACAATTCCTATCTGTGGTCTTTTTTCTGAAATAAATCATCCAGATACCATAACTCAGACCTTCATCAAGCAGGGGCAATTCACAGTGATAATTTTAATACTGCTGTTCTGCATGTAGTTAGTGAAATACTAAAACAAAACAGTAAACCGTCACCAAAAAAAAAAAAGAAAATCAAAGCCTTCTTGCTCCGCTAGCCATGCTCCCACTAGCATTTTATTTGTGTTGGGAGTATGGCTAGGAGGGGTATACTACATTACTGACGGCAACAAATCCCAAATTTCTTACCTCCAACACATGCTGCCTGAATCCTTTAGTCTTGTACTTGTTGTAGTTTGGGGGCCAGGGCATGTCTGGCACAAATTACTCTTATCATTAATGCATAATTCTTGAGATTATATGACCCATGAATTATAAGATGCTTTTCTTTATCTCCTAATGTTTCAGATTTCCCTCTTTTTTCTGTATTAGAAGGTAACAGGAGAGAAACAACAGACTTTGTGTTATTGTTAAATAACAGTCTTTCTTTCATGCATCATGTCAGTATGACAATTTGAATGTAAATCTTATGGAATAATGGGGAATATCTATTAGAGATGGGGAACGAGTTCCTAGCCAGGTGTGTCCCACAGCCTAAATGACATGTTGCTCTGTGATGTGACACAAACTGTTGAGATGGCTCTGGATTTGCTGTCCCTGTGGTTGGGCAATGTGTGAGCAACCTTGCTTTGCAGACTGGAGACATCCTGGAAAGGGCACTTGAGGTAGAGGCTGTTCTAGAATAAATGGTAAAAGAGAAAAAAAAACTACCTGTATGATTGAAGCTTGGTAGTCAACATTAATTAATATTACATATTGTTTTTTTCAAACTTTTTATAGGGCTTTTTTAGAAGAACAATTCGTTTAAAACTCATCTATGATAAATGTGATCGCAACTGCAAAATTCAGAAAAAAAATCGTAATAAGTGCCAATACTGTCGTTTTCAAAAGTGCCTTTCAGTTGGAATGTCACATAATGGTAGGTAAGAGTGCCCTTAATTTGTTTGTTCCTACCCAGAGTCTGCTGCTGGAGGCAGGCACTTGGATAGCATTTTTACTCGCACACATGAATTGAACCTCGGATTTTTTGCAAGATAGGTTGCTGTGGGGGATGCTAGTTTCCCTGATGTGGTTGATACAGAGCTGCCAAATGTGCTGTTGTGAGCTTTACACAGTTTGCTACACCTCAGTTTGTCCGTATGAATGTTCATTTATTTGCTTTCTTCACCCCAGAACTTTGGCACCAGTACTCCCATTGAAACAAATTTCAGTACTGGAAGAATTCTGATCAAGGGTTTTGTAGAAGAGTAGGAGGAGGACAACTGCTTTCATTGTGAAGGGAGTGATGTAGGATAGAAATCTGTAGGAAAGCAGCCTTCATTATTTTTCAGGTTACAGTGCAACAGCTCTTGAGCAGATGATTCAGAAAGTGGGGAGGGAGGGCAAAGGTCTATGCTGACTGTGCAACAGGAATCTGGTAGGTTATTTGTTAAACAGAATGGTTAAAAATTCAGAGCATTTAGATATCCAGTTTAAAAGTTATGTTGTTGTTTGTGCTAGTGATTTAAGATAAGGGTGGCAAGCTTGTGGCTTACAGACCAATTTCAGCCCACAAGGCCGGTCTCTGTGCAGGACGTAGCTTGCTCAGCAACACTGGTAAGGAGGGAGAGGCCAAGCCATGAGAAAGCACATCTCACCTGGCCAGATGACAGTAGTTTTCCCTGCTTGGCTCTGATATTGTCCAGGCTGAACTTGGGGGCAGGTGCAATGTGACAGTAATCAAAAATTCTGGGGTAGGTGAAAAACTGTGGGTCAGGAGACAAATTTCCTAAGGAAACTATGCAGTTGGGATAGGTGGGATGGGAACATGACTGGGGAAGCTGCTTGTGACATTGTAGTCTAGAGTCCCAGCAGGAGGCATTGTGAGAGGTTTCTTCCTGGTTCTGCAGAAGCCTGGCTCTCCTGCAATGAGCCTTGACTGAGATTGAGGTGCATTGGAAGAGGGTTGGTAGTCTCTGCAAGACTGGAGATAACCATCCTCAAAAAATAGGCTGGACAACAAAGTGACATCTCCGGTCACTTTGTTGTCCAGCTCAGTCAGCTGAGCAGGGAGCCGTGCTGCTTGGCAGGAACTGACATCCATGTCAACCTGTTTCATCCTACTAAAAACACTGTGGCTACCTGTGCTCCAGTTGAAGGGAATAGTCACATGTGGGAGCAGCAAACATGTGGGAGGCAGCAGGGGAAAGGGATGATTGCTAATTTGCTGGCAATACTTCTCAGGAAAAGCACTACGACTAAATTTACCCCCATGATCTTAAAACTGTAAGTTTTAGTTTAGAGCAGGTGTTCTTCCACTTTTTCCACAGGTTGGTGTGACCACTCACCCTTAAGGGGAAGGAAGCACCTAAGCCAGATTCCAAACAGGATTTCCTTGTTGGACTTCCATTTAAGTCCACAGCTGTATTTCAGGTCATGCCTAGAGTCACCTCCTTATGTCGTGAGAAGACTCCCTGACATGTTGAAGGGCTGATGGTGTTCATGCCTTGAATTGCTCAGTGTAGACAGTGAGGTCCTGTTCTCACTGGGTGGATGCTGAAATGTGGTACAAGCAACTCACTGTATGAGCCATCTCAGACCCTTGCACACCTCCCAAGGGTAAAATGGGCTGGCTGAGCTTGAAACTGAAACTGAAGAAGGATGTGGATGTGCCCATGAATGGTAGCACCACTTGTGCAAAACCCAGGAGACCTCCATACCCAGAGGTGTTTCAGACTTGCATCCTCTGCCTCTCGAAAGAATATCCCAATGACCAGGTTGGGTATTCAGGTTGTTCTCCTCTCCAGTCTTGAAGGGCTAGTCTGTTGAGAAAGCAGTATGGCATGTTGTGGGTAGAGGAGATTTTGTTGCCTGTAGCCTTTGAGCTGTAAATGCAGGTCTTTGGGCTGGTGTTCCCACTGGCACTGCAGATGTGTTGAATGAAGAACTGGATGCCCCTGCAGGTTCTGAGCCAGCAGTGCAATTCAGACCTGACTGTTGCAGCTCTCCAGCTCATGTATGTGCTTTCTGCCAAGTTCCTGTCATGAGTTTACCTAGTGTTTTAAGAGCTCCCAAGGTGGACTTAGAGTTTCACATTGGGAGCTGTAGAACTCAGTATAAGGGAAAAGAAATGTGTTCTAGCCCACTGCAGATAGGACTTTGTATTCTGAAACATCTGATTTCCTTCAGTTTAGCATATTAGTCACTGACTGTGTTGGGAAGGGGCCGATGTCTTCACCTCTACATCAGTTTTTCTAGACAGAAAAATCTTACTGCTCTGATCAGCAATGGTAAAAGGCTTAAGTTCTTGTATAATTTGTGTTTGTTTCACAATTATGTCTTCCCATCAGCAATACGTTTCGGACGAATGCCAAGGTCTGAGAAGGCCAAGCTCAAAGCAGAAATTCTAACAGTTGAAAATTATGTAGAAGACTCAGAAATGGCAGATCTCAAATCACTTGCCAAAAGAATTCATGATGCCTACCTGAAAAACTTCAATATGAACAAGGTTAAAGCCAGAATCATCCTTGCTGGAAAAGCCAATAACAATCCAGTAAGTACTTTTTCTGTTAATTTAAAATAAAACTGACAGGTATGCAAGGTGATTGTAATACTTTGGTAGACACTTTAGCAAATCTTTAGAAAATAAATATCATGATAATACAAATGTGAAATATTCAAAGTAAATACCTGTAGTAAATATGGTTGCTTTTAACCACTATCAGAATAGTAAGAAGGTTTAGGAAAATCAGATGATTACCTTGTAAATGGAAACTCATAACCCTAAAATGTTGTCCTTAATAAAAATGAAGTGATATCTGAATATGATTACCTCTTGATATGAGGAGAATGGTTCAAAATTATTTTCCTATTATGACAGTGAAAAAAATGAATTTTTCTCTCACAAATGACAGGATAAGTACTATTATCTTGTAGGGTGTACAAGTGCTCTGCTTGACTTTTCCTTTAATCAGAATAATATTTATAGCAGGAGGGGAAAGAAAACTTGAGTTTGTAATTTTTTGTTTACAGTGCTGGCCATTTCCTCACCCAGCCTTCCTGGTCTTTTCTGTAGGGTTCCTTTGAAAGGCAGAAGCAAGCAAGGTTTTGAAGACACATTTGCTGTAGAAGTTATTTTTCTTTCAGGGTAATTTAGCCAAGGTCTACCTAATTTGACTGCTTTTTATTTAGCAGCACATGGGAGAGTATAATCTATGTAAGGACTCGCTTGTTTCACTTTTTGCATATTTATTTAAGCTCCACCGTGATTTTTGTTACTTTTATGTACAAGTATCTTATTTTATCAGCAACTTCAGTTTCAGTAAAAATTTGCAGGAAAGAAACTTTACATATGCCAAAATGAAAACCATGTAAGTGTAGGGATGAGTGTTATCGAAATTGTAAGCAAGCTGTCTTCTGTATTATGGAATTTGGCATATAATAGTCTAGTCTAGTCTAGCCTACAGCTTTCTGCATTAGAAGAGAGACACATGAATTATCCCAGTCTTTTTCATTGCACTAAAGAGATATGTAAAATGAGACACAGGCTTAAACATTTTAAGGGTACAGGCTGATGTGAGCCTACAAGTAAACACCACCTTTAGCTTCTCAGTGAGTGGGCTTCTGCAGAAAATCAATTTTGTGCTTGTTACCTTGTGTCAGAACTATAAGCCACAACACGTCGCACATGCAGGGATGGATCCTAAAGCATTTAATCCCAGTTCTTGGATTTGAATGTGTGTGGCCACAGCCATGGGACTAACCAGCCAGCAGGGACCAGCACACGTGTGCCCGGGTGCATATACACATAAAAATTAATGAAGAATCAGCCCTAGGATGTTGCAAACAGCTTGCTATCAATTTTTTTCATATGTAGGGAAGAGCAAAGGGGTTTTAGGCTATTTCATCATCTCTTAAGTAAACAAACATTTTCATTTTCTTTTGACTTTTCAGCAGAAAAGCATATTTTAGAAGAAGTTTTTTTTTGATTGGGTAATTAGCAACCCACCTGTTTCAGAACTGTGTATTAACAGCTAATTTCAGTGAATCCTAATTTTCGGCACCACTACAATTAATTTCAGAATGAATGAGCATTTTTCAAGATGACATAGTGTAATTTTTTAATGTAGCTCCCAAGTCTTTAGCCATACCTCTTTTTTGCATACTGAAATGATGTTTCAGATTTAAAGGAAGTATATAAGATAGTGTACATCTTTTAAAGGTTTAGAGATGTGTTTCGTGTTTTGTTACTTTCCACTCATATCCACCTTCCCATGGAAAGTTCTGTTCCGTGTAACTGTGCTGGAATGAGATGGAATGTGTAGTACCCATAAACATTTTAAAATGGAAAACCATAGGAACCTGACCTGTTGGACAGTTTTCTGTCCAGTTTCTCATTTCTGAAGGAGACAAGTGAATTCTATGAGTTCCTGACAGAACACTATGTGTTCCCTATGAGCTTAGCAAAGCGGCACAAGGAAGGTGCTTGGTGTGTATGGAAATAAGTTTCTGTTCAAAGTCAGTTGCTGTGAGTTTGCTAGGCTGGGAAGCACTGGTGTTTGTTGTTTTTCTTTAGTGGATTGTGCTTCATTTTGGTTGTTGCCCTGCAGATATGTATCAAAATATTTTTGAGTTCTGATTGTTTGTAAGTAAGTCTGAACGCTGCTTTTGATGAAGATGTTTTAAGAGAGTGGCTTATCTGTTTGTAAAGCATGTACCTTTCAGAACAAATGGGATTATGGAAAAGACCAAATTTTGTGCTTGGCATTCTGGTGGGATTCTCTGTTTAGAGATGACTCAGCACCAACTGCAGTTAGAAATTTGGGACAACTGGGACATTGTCTATGAGAATCTGATAATAAAACACAAGTGCAGGTTTCACATTCTTATGCAAATATACTGCTTTATATTGAAATTACTGTCTGTATTCCCCCTAGGGTACTTCAGGAAAGCATCATGATGTGCATCAAGTGTAGTTAGTTCAGGAATCAATAGGAGTGTAGGCAGAATAACCTGGACCTCTGGAGAAGATAACAAAAGTCTTTTGTGAACCCTCTGGGAGTGGCTCTGAGGTGGATTTGTGCATCCCAAGCAGAGGAGTGCTGGAGCTTTGCTGTAACTATTAGATAAAACTAAAGATAAAACATCTTTACATTTGACTATTTGCATTGTTTGCAGACCAGACTTGTTAGGTATTGCAGTTTCTCATACACTGTTTGTCCTGATGAGAAGTATAAAAGAAGTCAGGGTTTATTGATAGTTGAGGACTGATTAGCAAGGAGGTTAGGTTTAGCAAAATTCTTATTTTTTAGGAAGAGAACAATTGATAACCATTATTTAGTGACTGAACTAGTGGGTTTTTTCTCTGTAGCCATTTGTTATACATGATATGGATACCTTATGTATGGCAGAGAAGACCTTGGTGGCAAAACTGGTAGCCAATGGGATCCAGAACAAGGAAGCAGAAGTTCGGATTTTCCACTGCTGCCAGTGTACGTCTGTGGAGACTGTCACGGAACTCACGGAGTTTGCTAAATCCATCCCTGGCTTCTCCAGCCTGGACTTGAACGATCAGGTGACACTACTGAAGTACGGGGTGTACGAAGCCATATTTGCCATGTTGGCCTCTGTGATGAACAAGGACGGGATGCTGGTGGCTTATGGGAATGGCTTTATAACCCGGGAGTTCCTGAAAAGCCTGAGAAAGCCATTCTGTGATATAATGGAGCCAAAATTTGATTTTGCAATGAAATTCAATGCACTGGATTTGGATGATAGCGATATATCCCTTTTTGTTGCTGCCATTATTTGCTGTGGAGGTAAGAAATACCCGTTTGTTCTCTAAGGTAGTAAATGTTAATATTTCCCTCTCGTGAATTAAAAATTTTAATGGAAAAGCTTCTATCCTCTGGAAGATTCAGTTCTACCACTAAATACACTTTGAGGAATCATTATAAAATTATGACATATATTCTTTTGCTTGTTTTGAGAACAGATCGTCCTGGTCTTGTAAATGTAGGACACATTGAAAAAATGCAGGAGAGCATTGTGCATGTACTGAAACTTCACTTGCAAAACAACCATCCTGATGACACCTTCCTCTTCCCAAAACTTCTCCAAAAAATGGCTGACCTCCGACAGCTGGTCACAGAGCATGCTCAGCTTGTTCAGATAATCAAGAAGACTGAATCTGATGCACATTTACACCCTTTACTACAGGAAATCTACAGGGATATGTATTGAGGACTTTTAGTATTTTTTCCACAATATTTAAAGACAGAGAAATACAGATGGGAGCAAAACTACTTGTACAGTTACGGGCTGTTCACTCAGCCCAGAGCAGGAAAAATCTAAAACTGGGGAACTGGAGTGTTGCACTTCTTTTGGTTTGGGATCTTTTGTCTTCTTTTGAAAAAGTGCTGCAGAAAAATACTGGTCAGAATGCTTAATGAAGTGTCTTAAAATGGTTCTTTTATTTGGAAATTTGAAGATTGGTAAGGAATACACATTTGTATAATAAATCAGAATGTTAAGTAACAGAAATGAACAAAATTGTATTTCCTCTTGGCTTAGTCATTTTAGTATTAATATAACAAATTCAGCACCTTCCTTACAGGTATCTGCACAATCAGAAAGACAATGCACTTTTGCCTAATGGTAACTACTGAGAACTAGCTAACACTTTTTCTTAAAGCATTCAGTCTAGGTGTAGCAAATGGCTGGATATTACTGTCCTTACACATCTGAAAATTTGGAAAGATCTTTGATCCATTGCTGCTTTAATCCATGAAATTATGTACAGCTTCATCTAGTGTTATGTTGGTATACTTAGGGTTAGCATGTTTAAAAGATGGTTCTCTTAGGAAATTAAACAAAATCCAAAGAGTTATCTAAAACATAGCAGAGATGCTCCAACAGGTGTGTCTTGAAGAGTAAACATGATAAACTGATGGGACATTTTTGTTTCAAAAGTCTGTTAAGGAAATGTGAAACTATCACTGATGTAAAAGATATAGTATACCCTGTATTTTTGTAGAACTTGTAATAGCTCAGGATGCAGTTTTGACATAAAAATACTATTTTGAATTAGCAAGGGTTTTGGAGAGACTGAAAAAGCTGATCCTACCCTAGGAAAAAAAAAAAAACGAATTTTAATTTTCCAGCAATGATACTGCACTCTGCTGCAGTGATAGATAATTCCAAAGGAATAATTGAATAGAAACGGCATTGGCTTCCTCTAAATGCCTTGGCAGTATAGTTGTTTGGACCTGTTAGCTTTTCTGATGAATACACTGCTTCAATTTTTTACCCCCTTGGATATATTCCTTCTTTGGCCTCATGCACAGAAGTATTTGGTACTTGTTATCACCAGGTTTTGTCCTGGTGGATGAGGTGACAGTAATACCAAGAACAATGTTTGTAGGTGTCATAGAATGGAAGGCAGCACAGCTGAGAGTAAGTTTATCGTGTTCCTAGGAGTAAACTGATTTTTACAACAGCACTTGCTGTACTCCTGCTGCAAAAGAAGCCACAATGAAATGGCTTCCTGACTTTGCTGCTTTTCTCAGAGAGCTGCCCAGAAGTTCCAGCTGCATGCAGGGCACTCTGCTGTTTCTCTTTCATTTCTTTGATACTGTGACTTCACACTATTACCTCCTAATTTTACTTTCTGTTTCACAACAAGGAGGTCTCAGGAGCAATCCCAGCATTTTACACTTAAACTTGCAGTGGCGCAGGAGGACACTTTGTACTTGTGTTATTGTAGCACATTTGATGATACCAGAATCTTCACTGCAAGGATTGAGTGATGAAGTGAGAACACCACGCTGTCATTTCTATTTCAGTGGCAATGCTTGTTTCTATCCAGGCCCACAGGCACAGCTGGACACTGGAAAAATTACAGATTTAAAGGTAACTTGGGGTTTATCTGGGCAATGATTGTGGCAGAAGTTATAGATAACTATAGATATATTTAGTGTAAAATACTGAAGCACAGACCTCAGATTTGGGGAGCATCTAGGGCAGGATAGAAACAGTAGCTGCATGTGCACAAAACTTCCTCCCCTTCCCTGTTGCCAGCAGGAAGAATGCTCAAACACTCAGAGAGGAATGTTGGTCCTGGCCAGGAACCCTCAGATGAGAAATGGGCTGCCTTTTGTGTCCCAGAGCAGCACACAGTGTGCCCTCAGAAACAGAGGATTTTAGGAATGCTTCTGCTTTATGCTTCCAGCCAACCCTGTTTCACTGTGAGGTTTAGGCCATGGGAAATAATTGATCTGCAATATTGCTGATGCAGGAAATTGTCAAAATATCAGCCATTGTGGGATGGTGTTCTGAAACTGTAGGAGCCAACTGTTAGTTTATCTTCCAAAAAAACTGATAACTTGAATTTTTTTTCCCCCCCAAAGGTCAGATTTTTTGCAAAGGACAAATTTCAAAATTTGTATTCCACAGACTAGGTGTACTGTAGGTTCTCAGGAAAAATCAGACACAGTCAGTGTGCATAACTATTTTTCCAGCTCTTGTTCTCAAAAGTGGCCAAAACACTTTAGTAACACTTAAAAGCATGGAATATTAATAATAATATTAGTTAAATTAATTTAATTAATAATAATATTAATTAAATTCTCAGCAAAGCTGTAAAGAATTGCAAATAGAACAACTCAGTGAAAGGCATCATATTTAGCTGTTTTAGCAGCTGCATGAGAAAAGTGCATAATTTTTTTGTTGTTTGAAAACTAGCGAGAAATTTTTTACTACTTCCTTGGACATTAAAGCTTTGATTTCTATTTTACATTAAATTGCAGACCCTTAATGAGAAAAAAAAGAGAACACATCTCTGAATTGTAGAAATATGAACAAAATGTTAACACAGCCTAAAATTCTGGATGGATTCCACTGCCCACACTGCTGTCCCGTGCACATTCCCACAGTCACTTAAAAGAGTGACACAGGGCAGACAATTCCCTTCCCAAGAATTAATGGGCAAAAGAATTTCTCATTTCTACATTATGCTTTTAAGGAATTACATTTGCTCCTTCAGGAGATGACCACAGCAGGTTTTGGCCAAGAAGATTTTAAAGTTACTCAGTTTATGCCCCCCCTCCTTTTTTTTTTTTAATTTGGAATCCAAACTAGTCTCAGATCTATTTCTGATTGATTATTTCAGCATCTCCCCTATGTGCAGATAAACAAATAATTTAAAATACCCCATCTATGGAGGGAAGCAAAGTGATCAGATTTTAGGATTAAAAACTATTAAAGATTTACTGGCACATCAGGTACAGTTTGGATCTGATTCATGCCAACATAACTCATTTTAATGTCATAGCATGGAAGAACTCTGGTTAGCAACCAGACACACAAACAGCTTAAGGAAAGAGACAGCAGATGGATGGAGAAATATCCTGGGAAACAATGGTATGACTTAAGTAAGTTTTCAACAAACCTACAAATTACTCATTTTTGAGCATTGTTTAGGGCGAAAATATTTATTTATTTATTTATTCTGGTGCCCTAGGTACTTTTTGTCAAAGGAGAAGGGGGAAAGAAAAGGAAGGTTTCGTGCCAAGTGATAGGGAAATCTGAGGTTCGTTCTTCTCTCCTCCTTAAATATTTCCTTTAAAGCTGCTGTTTAAAAAAAGTTAGCTACTTTGTACCTTTCAAAATTTCCAATCCCACTTTTGCTTTAAACACAAACTGACACCTGATAGGAAAGTTTGCGCTTACAGAAACAACGTCTTAGGTTGCATTTAGAGAAACCATATTTTGCGTTAACTGCCATTTCCATGTGCCTTTGTGCTCTGGTTCCAGCAGCTGCTGCAGAGCTGAAGTGCTGCCAGAGAGCAGAGTTCTGCATTATTCCTGCCCTGGGCAGATCTCGGAAATACCAGCAGTTGCACTAAGCCCGTTCTCATGAGGGAGCTGGCACAAGGCTGCACATCAAAGAGCTTATAATAAGCATCTAAACATTTGTTTGTTTATTCAAACTGCTGAAACTTGGGGAGATTTATTCATCACGAGAGCTGGGTCACATACGATTGAGTTTGAATTTCCTCATTTCTGACAGAAAGCCTGGACAAACTTGGGCCCCATCTGAGGCAGAGCAGCTGGGGGATATCCTGCTGTGGCTGCAGAGGAATAGTTTCAGTCTCTCCTAAAAAGCTCCCTGTGACTTAACTGAAGATCTGCAACTGCATTTGACAAATGCATTTGCAGCTGTCATGGTACTGCTTAAGCATAAGGTCTGCAAATAATGGTCCTTCTCAGAAACCCCTTGTCCTTGAGAAAGTGTTGGAGTGTAAGGTGGAGCGTGGTATCTGTGCTTGCTTATGCCCCAGGTGCTTTCCTGATAATCAGTTGCAGATAAATTTTGTATTTAGGTTTAATCAGCTTTATTATCCTTCTTTTACTGGAGATCTAAATTATATGTGGGTTTGATCTAAGATTATTGATATTGTTATGTGTTGTGGGATTTTAATTTAATGTAATAACATTTCTTCCTGTTTCAATTTATAAAATACAAGAATATAAATGCAAGGTATAAACTTTCACTAAATTAATTACAGAGGTGCTTAAAGAAAAATGTGTAAATTATTTAATTTAAGTATTTGTTACATACTTTATCTTGTTAACCCTTTGTACAGTGAAGAAGTATTTCCTTTTATGGGCTAAGGATGAAGGGGCTGATGTCAAAGACAATTTATTATTTATTCCTGTCTGGTCTTTGTTGCTGTATCATTTGTGAAGAACTATCACTGATAACCAAAGTTATCAGTGTTTGGTGTTGATGATTATAACAAAACTTTAAAATATATTTTCACATAGAACACAGACTTCCTTTTATTTAATTTTAATTAAAACAAGTCTAGTTGAGGAATAGCTGCCATCCCAAAGTCGATTTTTTAACTCAAGTTCACTAATAGGAAAAACAGTGTGTAGAACTGAGTTCATCTTTGTTTTGCAGCATGGTAGATCATTTTCCTTTGAAAAGAGCTAAAAAGAAGCTACATTTGGTTTGTACACCGGTGCTGGTGTTTTCTGCAGAAACTGACTTGTGTCTGGGAATAATAACATGTACTCAGGATTATTCCCTGCCATCTGCCCTGAGGGTGACCTGCTGCTTTTAGAGATGTATTTCAAATATGATTTGGCAGCGCAAAACAAAATGTTGAGATGGCATTATTGCCTTCCCTACAGGAGGGATTTTAAATAGAATTCAGAGTCTGCTCATAGGGATTCTGTGTCTGGTGCATGCAGGTTTGACAGTCTGTGTCTACAGCATCCTTCTAAGGAAATCTGATATAGGGGAAAAAGTACCTTTCAAAGGTATCTATTTTTTATTTTGCTGTGTGAATCACCAAACACAGTAGGTATCACAAGCACAATCTCATACAAATGTTCCAGCTATCATTTGTACTTACTGCTTTTTATTTGTAACATGTAACACCTGATTTCCTCAAATTGCTGCGACTTGGCATTTTCACTTCATCAGTGTCACCACACAGGTATGTTGTCTCCTAAGGTGTTTGTGCCATGTTTGCAAAAGCTCTGCTGGACTTCCCTGTGCTAACCTGCAGCCACTTCCTTTACACTTCATGACACAAACCCACTGTGTAACTGAGCCCACCCTAAGGAAGGCTGTTTCTTCCTTTCTTTTTTTTCTATTGTGTTCACTTTTTAAAAATCTTTTTCTGCTTCTGAAGCTGGGGTGTTTTTATTCTTGAGCTCCTTTATTAGATCAGATTCCACTGCTATGGGTGTTTCGAAACAGAATTCCTGTTGCAAGGACCTATATTTCAGATGAGCTGACTCTGCCAGGGGATAGGCAGCACGCCAGGAGACTGATCTGATTACAGGCTGGACCTTCAATAAGGACTGCAAGATCAAGCATGAGGTACTTGAAGTATTTTCACTACTTGAAGTAGGAGTAATATTTTGGTGTATTTTCTCATGTTGGGTATGCAGGTAATCCCTGTTGTGGTAAAGACACGAGCCTTATGCTCAATGCCAGGATTTTCATGGCATTTTTTCCGCTTGAAAGAAAAAAGACTGGCAGGATGGGGAAGTCCTGAGGCACTGCAATCCCGGTGGTACACCAGTCCTGTGTTGTACTCCGGGTGTGTAGGAGTGCAGTGTCACCAGGCACTGTGTGGGATGTGCTGCGGAGCTGGGAGTAGGTGGCTCACTACAGACAGCCAGCCCTGCTCCCCTGGCCCATGCAGGGCCTCACATGGCTCATCCCCACACACTCAGCAGCTCTCTCCATCAGTGAGAATCACAGTGCCTTGGCCTGTTGGCAGAGGAGAAACTCAGTAGTAACTAACCTAACCAACATTTCAGTGCTATCAATGTGCTCCAGAACCCCCTCTGAGTGGTTTGACAAAGTCTGCTTCAGCAGCTTCTTGGAGGACCTGCCTCCTGAGCAGCTCTTGCTGTTCCACATTTCTTACAAACAGTTGCTCAGAATTTTCTCTAGGAATGCAGCACCACAGCTTAAGTGCCCCGGGATGTTGAAGCCCTCCCTCACGTCTTAAATGGTCTGTTATCTGGTAGGACACAACATGCAGTGTTGTTAATGTTGCCAAAGCCTAATCAATAGAGTGAACAAGTGTTTCATTAAATCAAGATACCAGTATTAAAGAGAAAACAAAATAGCTTATTGTTTCCAGTCAGCTGTTTTGGGTACATTTTACTTCAGTAAATACAGAAGGTAGGATGAACACATTTCTTGCAAGGAGTAGTCAAGCCTAATTCTCATGGAATGCTTGTTTCCCAATAAAAACTACTAATTCAAGCCAAGTTCCCAAGTTTCTTTCTGTTAGAACAATGCAAATGGCACTTCCAAGAATGAATGGATGCCCTGGTCTCACAGGGATTTTTAGGAAGGACAACGTATCTTGCACTTGTGAATGTTAAAGTCACGTCTAGCTACATACAATGATGCATTCTCAAACGTTACCAGCCTACTGATCTAGGATGAAAAGACTTGAACTAAACATTTTTTTCTTTTTTTACATTCTGATTTTTTTCTGCCTTCTTTAAAAACAAAAGGTTGAATTCACAGTGTTTGTATAGACTGGTAGGAACCTATGTGCTTTAATCCTTTCAGACTGAATGTAAACCAACTTAATTTGAAACACGATTTTGCCTTAATGGTTTTAAAAAAATAAAATATTTTTAAAAGTGAATTTATTGACATGTGCTGATCTTTTATCTCCAGGAAAGGAACTCACTGCAATGTGGCATTCAAAAGGCAGCCTATTTGAAGCATCTTAAAGTACTGATGCTTCCCTGTGTACTGTTAGATGCCTTTTGAAGCAGGAGCAGGTGTGTAACATACCCAGAGGCATTGCATATGCATTTATTTATATATATTACCTAAGTCTGGTGTTGATCCACCATCCAGCTGTGATCTTTCATATTCTGATAGGTTGTATGGCTGATTTGAGACATCCATGAAATTCAACAAGTGCACTTCTGTGTGAAAAGCAGCACTGACTAATTCAATGAGCACGTCTTCAATTAAATCAGTCAGGGAAGCATGTCACAGGTAGCTTTTTTCCTTCTAGCATCTGGGGATATTTTAAGCTGGTAACAGAGTGCTGAAGTGAAAATTACAGCAGAGGAAAAAGACTCAGGTTTCTTCATCAGCTGAGCTCAGGAGCATGGAAGACCTGATGCTGAGCAGCAGAAAGTACTTGAAGACCCCAATGAAACAACCTGTAAAGACTGAGCATCCATGAAGAGCAGGAAAGGTTGGGCATGGTATCATTCAGGATGTGAGATCACATATATACCAAAATATGATGATGCTGAGACCATAATGCTCATGTTCAATGGGAATACAAGAATGGGGAATAACTACGTTCTAACAGCTGGGCACAGGTAATAATCCATTGTCATTCCAGGAAATGCCAAGCGGCACGAAGGGCAGTCTCCTTTCCCTAAAGCACAGACCAAGGATGCCAGAACGCATCTGCTGTGGTACCTGCTGGTTTTTCTGCACCTACCAGGTCTTCACAGCCAGGTAACTGTGAAGCAGAGGCATCCCTGGCTTGGTTTTTCCTGTTGTACTGAGCCAAATTAAATATTATGTAGTTTTGGTCTGAGGTTCTACTCCCTTTTAATACTGTCTTTTCCCCCTTAAGTTCAACGTAACAAGTTCTTAAAGGCATAGATATTTCTGAGGGCTTTAAATGACTCCTCATCATATTGTGAAGGCAAAGATAATGGTTATGAATAAATGAGATAACTGCTTTTGTCTTAAAAGGGCACAGAGGGAGCTGAGCAGGAAGGCAAACAGGTCAGAGAGGTGACATCCCAATCTCACTGACATCTGAACTGCACTAGGCAGGCTTTTAAAACCTGCTTCTAAGAGTACAGTCTGTTGTGAACAATGGGAAATCCGGGAGAAAACATATTTCAAGGTATGTTTGCTGCTGTAAATATATCTTATGATCTCACATAACCATGTTGTTTTGGCAGCTTGATTATTAGACTACAATTCCAAGGTGGGAAAGTGCTCTCTTCAGTTGTAGGTTTAGCACAGGATGTGCCTCTGGTGTTTATATGGAACAGATACAGACACACCACAGCTTTTAAACAGTGTGAAACTGAAATATAATACCACACATCTTACATAAGTTTGGTATCACTTTCCCTGAAAATGTAGTCTTTTGTAGCTGCAAAAAGGAATCTGAAATGTTGCATCCTAACATGGATGTTTTTTTCCAGATTTAGAGACATACATATATTTTATTTATTAAAGCACTTAGGGCTTGAAAAGGCTACTAATAGGTCCATTATCGCTCCTCCAGTCACTGCAACAAATTTCAGTCCTGAACAGAGGGCACCAATATAGTAAGTTCAGGAAAAAGTTATTTTAACACAGGTTCATTCTACTAAAATGGTTGGGTTTTTATGTTGTCATATTACAAATTATATGGATGGAAGTGTTGGAAAAAAGAGATGCTCACCAAAGCACTAACAGGTTCTGAAGCAATGACCAACAGTAACTTGAGTAAAAAAAGATGATTTTATGATTAGGGAGCATTCTAGATGTATCCTTAAGGCATGTGACTCAGGTTTTACATAAAAGCCACCTAAATGTTAAGACAGTCAAAACAGATAATTGAAGAAGCTGATTCTTGAGCTAAACAAACTGCTGTTTCTATAGAACTTGTTACCTTTTTTACCTGAAACTGTGTTTCTGACATCCCTATTACAGCTGCAGCTTATTTGACTGGTTCAGGAAAGAATTGAGTGTATTAATGAGACTTTTCTATTTCCAGATTAACTGCTCTGAAAGTGAAAAAGAAGTCACCTTTATTGTAAAGCATAAGCCAAATGTATTCAGGGTCCTCTCCAGTTGCTGTGCTGACATGGACTGGAAGGTTAAGTGGGAAGTGAGTGCAAGGGACTTGTAAATATTATTATTGATTGCAGAAGCATCAACCTTCAAAGTCTCAAGTCTCAATATTGTGACAGCATTAAGATTACCAAATGTAGGTATTATATTTATGACATTTTCTCACAGCACTTTTATTTTAGACTTAAACATAAAGCTTTACATTTCCTGCCTTATGTAATCTTACAGGACAGCACTGCCAGATTAACAATTGGTGTACACTGACTTTCTAGGGTATATGCTGAATTAAGCTAGATCAATCTGTTTCAGAATTTCATAACACTGTAGGGAGTGTCAAGAACAACACAAAGCACTAAAATAGCAAGATGTGGAAATCTGGACAGGGTTCCTATGCTCTGTGCTGTTTGGTTTGTTACTGCAAGCATTTCTCATGGTGCCAGCAGGCTCGTCTGCCTTCCCTGCTGGCTCCTCAGCACCTCAGAGCTGCTCCCTGGCGCGGCCGGCGCTGCACGGGGATGTCTGAACCCAAGCCAGGGGCAAGGAAATGTGCTGCTCTCTCCAGTAGCACTGAGCTGATGAAGGTCACTTCTTTAAAAGGAGCAACATGATAGTCTCCAAGCAGAGAGAGGAGAAGCCCCAGCCAAAGAACTGTCACTCTTGGACCTTCAAGATTTATGCTTTGTATCCGTTTTTTTTTTTTTTGCAGGATTTCTGCTGGGGCTTCCTTCTATCCCTGTCTTGTATTTCAAAAGGAAAGGCCTTTAGGTTTTCTTTCACGCAGGGAAGGCAGAAACTTTTGGAAAAGAACAGACAACAGTCCTGCAAAGGAAATAACATTAATAGCAGGATACACAAAATGGAATTGCTTACATTCCAGCCTCATTAAACTACATTTATATTTAGAATTATTCTAAAATGAATTATTCTTCCTCTAGGCTGAAATATTTCAGCAATTTAACTTTTTCTTACTCAATAATTCTAACATCTGGTTAGAGCCAACTGAGTGAAAAATAAAACCCCCAAATCAACTGTCCCACTGCTCCTGTTAAAGTGACCTTCACCTGCTCCCTGCTACAGGGAATAGCAACACACCTCCTTCAGCTGCCTTCTCCTTTCAGCACCATGCATGGGTTTCCTGGCCTGCTCACTGAATTCCAAATAGGATTTCATGGGTAAGCTGCAGCTGGTGCTTCTGATGAATTATACCTGGAGAGTGAATAAACTTGTTAGAGATTCCATGGGTTTTACTGAAACAGCAAAGTTTTCCTCTAAGTCTTGCTTCATGAAGATTTCTACCATGTGGGAGAATCTTCCAAATTCCTGCAAGGGTGTGTGAGACTTGGAGCCTCAGCACACTCTTCCTCACTAATCTCCACAAAAATGGCCTAGAGGCCAACACAAGTACCAGGTACTGGAGGCTCTCACAACAGACCATCTTTTCCATAACTCCCAAAAAAACTATTCTTACTTCCATTAATCCATGCACTTGTATTCTCCTAGTAGACTACTAAAAAGTATCACTATTGTATCAATATCACAGAGTTTTAACTGGAGTAGTTAAATGAACTCCATTCATCTGAGACGATTCAAATGAGATTTCATCCCTTACCCTCAATAAATGTACTCACTGGTTAAAACCTAGAACCACACTTGGTACTAAAGCTTGAGCTAATGGCTCTCCTCTGAACTCTTGCTGGCAAAGTATAAAAGCTGTTGTGCACAAAGAAGGTATTTCTGCTATCCCTATTCTGTTCACAGCTCACACAGACCCAATATTTTTTTTCCCCAGGAGTTGTAACCAGATGTTAGTAATTGAATAGAAAGAAGCAAAACTAACAGAACATCTTAATGTATTTGCAATATAGAGTTTTTGGAAGATAAATTAATTAATGTATTATTCCTTTGCTCTGCAGCGAGACTTGACGTCCCTGGTTCTCTTGATGTGCTGATCACCAAATTCCAAATAGGATTTCATGGGTAAGCAGGAATTGGTGTTGCTGATGGATTATTCTTGGGGATTTAAGAATGAATAAATACATCAGTTTAGACAGAAGTGGACAAATGGATTCCCTGGGTCTTGCCTAAATAGTGAAGTTTTCCCATTGCCATGGTCATTTGCAGTTGGTCTTTCTCTGGGAGCTAGGCTTGGCTGTTCTCTGTGTTCCTCTCCTTGTTTTTATTTCTTATGTCACTATCTGGGCTTTAGCAGCAGATTCAGGTGATAATTATAACAAAATCACAATCGGCCTGCTTCCATGTGACTTGGAAGCTTAGGGAACAACTTGTCTTCATCTATTGTCCTTTTCTGTGCTGACTGCCAGGCCCCTTCATATTCAGGAATGAGTATGAGGTCTTGGTCTCTGAAAAGCCCTGAAAGTGGATTTCAGTTGCACAACCTCCAGAACCTATTGTTTTTTGTCTCTTGGTATCCTTAATACGTTAAGCTGGCAGTTTAAAAGGGGAGATTAGAGTTTAATTTGGCCTGGCTATGGTTGCTTTCATTGCCAAAAGGCACACAGCCCCCCAGCTCCAAGGCTCAGTGCTCCCAGAGGTGGCCACTGGGCCATGGCAAAGGAGAGAAGCTGTTCCTGCAGGTGGGATCCCCGATGGCAAGACACAGATCCTCACAGGTAAAACAGGTGCTCAACTTGTGTTCTTTTGACTGAAATGAGTTGCCAGCTAGTGCAGATTTTGGCCAACAGAACTGGGGAGATCATGACTATGAACCACCTCACCCCTGAGAATGTACCTGTAGTCCTGCTCAGTCAGTCCTGGGATTTTCAGCCTAACTCTTCATTCAATGCCCTATGAATTAAACTT